CCCAGTAAAAAAAAATTAATTTAAAAAAATAAAATATATTTCAATTTTTAGGCCACCCCTACCCTTACCCTATCCATCCCCCAACCACCACCCCTGTCCATTTTTTTTTTTAAAAAAATTATTATTTTGAAAAATAATTCACATTTTTAAAATTTCATTTTTTCACCACCGGGTCAAAAATATTTCAATTTTAATTCACATTTTTTCATTCACCAACCAAACATGAAAAAAATAAGTCAAAATTCCACTTGTTTTTCAGGAAAATATTTTTCTTCGTACCAAACACACCCTATATTTAGTACTAGTCGAATATTTTTATATTTATATTTAGAGAGAGTAATTTAGGTTTCAAAAGGACAAGTCACGGACTGGGGTCTCCAACAAGCAAAATGATGGCAGGAAAGATTTTTGAAGTAAAAGGAGATATCATCATGTCGACATATTTTAGTTTGATATATACTTTTCAGGGAAATTAATATTAAAGAAAAAAATGAGTTTTCTAGTAAAGTTTTTGTTGTATTCTACAAATGGAAATAGTTTTCCGATAAGCATTTTTGTTGCATTATAGACGGTTTGGCCAAAAAAAGTAGAAGTGGTTTTGGGAGGAAACTTGAATTTTCAAAAATTTGGGAGGATCATTTCTCACACAAATACATTTTTATTCTTTTCACAAAATTGATACTAATATTATCTATTGGCATCTATGTTATACTGATAACACATCTTATACAAAAGTTGCAAACGTTTTTTAAATTTGATTTTCACCATTACCCTTTAACCGTAGACCAACAATGAACAACGTAGAAACTATCGAAGGAATTATTATTCAATTTATAAAATTAAAATGAAACTAAAAAATCTCATTTTATCCTTAAATTCTTTTTAAGAATATAAGCATTATAAAATTCCAAAAAATAAATAAATTTGAAATTAATGAATAATAAGATACATATATAAGATACTTTTTGAAAAAGTTCAAAGATAAATAGCAATTTTTTATACTCCCTCTATCCCAATTTATGTAACACATTTCATTTTTTTTTAGAGTCAAATGGTTTAAGTTTGATCGGAAATTTGCGCAAGAAATCTTCAAAAAAAAAATTGAAATAAAATTTATATATTTTTAAACTACGTAAAAAGTATTAAAAGTTACAATAATTGACATTTCACAATATTTAAAAGATATATGAAAAAATTACAATAAAAAATAGATTTATTTAAATCTCAAAATTCGAAATGTGTCACGTAAATTTGAGACGGGCGACTAATATTAATTTCTTAAAGAGTCGGAGTATACACATATAAAACGTGCAAATAAAGTTAGTCAAAAGTATTTAGTGGGCTCAGACTCAGTTATCTGTCTCTCACTAGCTACCCTTTTCACTTTATCTGACAAAAAAATTCATAAGAAATTATATTTTTATTTGTTTAGCATTAATTTGATATTTCTAAAGAATAATAAATTTATTATATTATTTTTTAAAATTAAAATAATTTGAATATTATAAAAATATATTAAGAAATAGCTATAGTTAATAAATAAGGATCTATTTTTCGTATAACGAACAAATAAAAATAAACGAAAGGAGTAATTAATCATGCTTAACCTGACTTTCTAAATAATGTGATACTGCTTATGAAACATAAGAACAAGAAGCTAGGTTATTTATTTTTTAGTCATCTATCTCCACATTAATTATCCCCACAATATATTGAAATACGTTAGTATTATTATTGGAAACAAAATACATGATAATTGATAGAGTACTAGAAGAGGAGTAATATTTTAGATTGTTACTGAACTTTGAATAGCTCCTCAAAAGTCGTTCAACTTAGAAAAATTCACTTAAAAAGTCATTACTCTAAATCTCTAGGTGACAAATTTGATTGGTGGAATGGGATGGATTGGTAAAATAAGTTTTTTTTTTAAGTAATGATTTTGAATAATAAAAATAAAATTAAATAACGTTCTATTTATTTTTTTCAAAATTGACGATCCTATGAAATATTAACTACGATCCTCTAAAATACATAAAGCCAAAAAAGTTGGTGATAGCATCACCGAAAAGTCCGAAATAGCAAAAGGTAAAGACAATTGCTTGTGTATAGGGAAATTGACTACCTTTGTTAAAAATAGTAAATTTTTTTTTTTTTTATGAATTTTGATAATTCAACGCGCAGTTCAAAATCCATATGATAGATTTACGGTATACCCAAAACTTGTGTCACATGATTTTTTTTTTAATCTCGTAAGTTGTAAGGACATAACTTGTGTGTTGCAAATTTTACCTTGTAATACATCACTTGTGCCTTCCAATATATTTTTTTTGCCTTGCATTTTTTAAAAAAAATTCCGATGTTATTGGTATTTTCGATCACTCTTTTTGATATTGGTATTTTCACTTGATGTATTGGAGATAGTAGTTGTTAATAAACATTCGTCCCAATAAACTCTCCACTATTTCATTTTGTGTAAATACAAGTAATTTGGTGAATGATCCCTTTGGAGAGGAAAAAATCAGATTGTACTTTACCACTTCCTAATTCAAAAGAATTGTATGTTCTTATTTCTTTAACCTTGGAATGAAATTGTCTTTCTACCATGGAAAGGAAAGATTGTAAAATAGAAAAAACATTTGATTTAGTGCTAAGAAGATGAGTCCAAGTAGCTCTATTAAAGTCATCAACAATTGTTAAAAAATACCTAAAACCATAAGTCAGTTTTATAAGGTCCCCAAGTATCAACATGAATTAGATCAAAACATAATTCTTTTAGAAAAAAGGCAATTTTGATTGCCTTGTCATTAGACATATAGTACAAGGAGAAGAAAATTTAGAACAAGATACTGAAAATGGAACAATTTTTTTCATATTACTGAATGGCATGTGACCCAACCTATAATGCCATAATTTTTCTTTTACATTTGAATCAAAGAAACTAGAATAGTAAACTAAAGACACTTGCTACTGAATTTGAAAAATGTAAACTACTAGTGCTAGAATTTGATAGACTCTTTGTGAAATCTACTGGTTGATTTTCTGGATTGAAATTGGACAGACTATTTTCAGGGACTGTTGGTTGACTTGACTTGAAGACATATAGACCACCTTGTTCTTTACCAAGCACCAGAGGGCTTTTCAGTGAAGGGCCCTGCAACATGAAACAAGTGTTAGGAGTGAAAAGCATAATTTACGAATAGAAAGTAAATTGAATTTGAAATAAGGAATGTAAAGAACATTATGTAGAAGTAGTTTAGATAACAAATATATCGATCCCGAATGAGTGACTTTTACTTTGTGAGAATTTAGGAGAGTCACCATAATAGGTTTAGGCAAAGGACTGAAGCTAGAGAAGAAATTTTTATTAAAAGTCATATGTTCAGATGTTGCACTATCCAGTATCCAAGAATCACTGTCAACTTTAAACAAACAAGCATATGATATAAAAATTTTGGTCATACCTGCACAAGTGATTTTTGCAGATGCATCACCAGTTCCTGTAGACTTCTGGTTCATCTTTTGCAAAAGTTGCATAAGTTGTGCAACATCTCTTGATTGAGAGATACATATCAGTAGAATTGTCTAATGTCTACTGATTTGTCTCTACAGTATTAAAAACATTGTTGACCATAGTTCCTTTCTGGTACCTTTTGGTTTTAGTGAACTTGAAATCGGAAGGGAATCCATGAATCTTATAGCATTGATCAATAGTGTGTCATCTTTTCTTGCAGTAATTACATGTCAAGCTGTTTTCCTTGATGGGATTGCCTTGCTGATTCTTATAGTCATCAAATCTCCTACCTCCTCTATTACCAACAAGAAAGGATGATGATTCTCCTGCTTAAGAAGGAGTAGCATGAATTTCTCTCTGTTTTTCATCTTGGATCACGAGAGAGAGTATGCTTGACCAATACTAGGGAGAAAAAAAGAGAACAAAATATTACTCCCGACTCCAATAAAAGTGTCATTCAACCCAATAAGAAATTGGAGTAGCCTCACATTTTGTTGGGCTTTCACTCCTTTTTCCTTTGCACCACATTCGCACTCATAACTACAAGCAGAAAAAGTGTTAAGTATCTAACTCATCCCATAAACTTTTCATTTTTGTGAATTAAGCAGAAATACTTGAATTTGTTTGAACTCTACAGCATTCAAATCCTTTTGTAATTGAAATAATTTTGCCCCATTATCCTGACCAAATCTGTCTTCTATGTCTGACCATAAGACCTTGGCGCTTTTGGGATATAAGACAAATTCAACAATCTATTTTGAAAGAGAATTCAAGAGCCAAGACAAGACCATATTATTACATCTTGCTCAAGTCTTTTGAAGTTCTATATCAGTAGGAACAACTAGAGATCCATTAATGAATCCTAGTTTGTTCTTAGCTGAAAGAGCAATGATAACAGCCCTTCTTCAGCCGCCATAACTCCTTCCATCAATGATAGTGTATACAAGGTTCATGCTCGGATAATCAGAAGGGTGAACGCCGAAAGCATGTGAAGAATCCACTGCATTAGTTGCAGGGATTGCATCACTCTTTTCAGTAGTTTAGAGTTGAGTACTTTGATTATTAGTCATTTTCAGAAGAAAAAAAAAACGCAGCAAAGTTAGAGATTAGCACTGCTCTAATACCATGTAGAAGTAAATAGAGAAAACTAAAGAAAAATCTTCTTATATATCTGAATGAATATTATGTACAAAGAACTCTATTTATTTAGAAAAAACAACCAACTTATTGTTAATGACTCAACCCTAAATACATACAATCAAATAAAGGAAGGTAATTATTTTCTACACCTAAAAAGGAAAAATAATAATTTTAGTACACTATGTAAAAATATCGTGTAATTGAAAAATATACCCACAATAAATGTGCTTCTAAATCAAATGTCTTTTTCTTGATTTGGAAACATTGGAAGCACAAAATATAACCCAAACTGAAATGTCAATAATTCAAGTGTGAAGTGAAATCCAACCGGGCTCAACAAAATATAAACTTGTGAACTGATTTGCAGGTTGATTCCATGGCGGATCAAAACAACAATGAAGGAGAAGATTACACAGTTATAAACTACAAAGATGCAGTAGAGCGAATACCATACTAGCTACCTACTGTTGGCTAGAATATAGCAATTGCACCCAGCCGCACGGAACTGCCGCATTTTACCCCAAATGTAAACTTCTGAACTGATTTGCAGGTTGATTCCATGGCGGATCAAAACAACAATGAAGAAGAAGATTACGCAGTTGTAAACTGCAATTTGCCCAAAGATGCAGTGGAGCGGATACTCGTAGGGCTTCCGGTCAGATCGCTGCTCCAGTTTAAGTCTGTCTGCAAATCATGGTATAATTTCATCAAGAGCCGTAATTTATCAAAATTTACCGCAATCATCAAATCTCTCATCCTCCTTCAGCCATTATAGCTTACAAAAAAAAATAATGTTAGCTCCTTCTGGCCTAATTTATTTTCGCTCCATCTTCATCCTGTTATATCCAACATTGAACAGTTCAAAATACTGTTCAATGTTGGATATAACAGGATTAAGATAGAGCGAAAAGAAATTAGGCCATAGCTAACATTTTTGTTTGTAAGATAAAATGAGAGAAGGAGGATGAGGGATTTGATGGTTGTAGTAAATTTTGATAAAATTACGACTCTTGATGTACCATGATTTGCAGACAGACTTAAACTGGAGCAGCGATCTGACCGGAAGCCCTACGAGTATCCGCTCCACTGCATCTTTGGGCAAATTGCAGTTTACAACTGCGTAATCTTCTTCTTCATTGTTGTTTTGATCCGCCATGGAATCAACCTGCAAATCAGTTCAGAAGTTTACATTTGGGGTAAAATGCGGCAGTTCCGTGCGGCTGGGTGCAATTGCTATATTCTAGCCAACAGTAGGTAGCTATGCTAACCCTACTGGAAAAGATATTTATATACTAACCCAAGCTTGAGAGTTAAAATTACGAAAATACCCTTAGCCCATTTTGGTAACAATAAATTTAGAATCTTATAATACGTGCTACAACTGTCTTTGTCTGAAGAGATACCTCCATTAGCCAAATAGGTATTGTCTTCAACAACCTTTCTAAGTTTTTCTATTGTCGCTTTTGATTATGCTTCTTTCTAAATTTATGCGCTTTAAGTGATAGCAAGGTAAGTCTGAATCAAGTAAACCCATTTTAGGTGTATTCCTGTTGAAGAGAAAAAGGTGGACTTAAAGTTCATATATCTTAGCGATGAATTTGGTGGGACTACAAATGAATCTTGCATTATGATTTTTTCATTATTGAAAGAAAACTTTGTTGTCGAAAAAGAGGGTGAACAATTCAACCAGATCTTGACGACAAACAAATTCAACAAAACTATCTCCTATATATCTGATTCATGCGAATGTCCCTATTTGAAGGGTAACAATTGAAGTCCAGACCATTTAAAGGTCAATACAGGCAAATTCATCATCTTTTATAGGTGGAAGGATTGGTCTCCAATCAGAAACTTCTCTGATTCACTGTTTTTCAGATTGGGCTTTAGTAAAGTTAAAGGTAATTACACAGGTAAGGAATATAACTAAAGAGTTTTTTTTGGGGGGGATAAAGATAAACAAACCACCAAATTAGCCTCAACAGTTCGTGACTGTTAATTCGAATGAAGGTTTACAAGGTAGTCTCACTTACTGGAATGTTATTAGGCTGAACCATTTGACCAGCCGGGTGAAATTCATTTCCTTGGCCACCATTTGCCTCCTCTTCTACCTGAATTTGGTAGTGCTATTTTAGTACTTTAAACTGTAAAGATAATTAAGAAATGTTCCAAAATTCATAGCAGGATTCAAATACATGGACAAAAATATGTAATTATCCATGTGAAATTGAGCATTGACACCTCATTTGGATTGAAATAAATTTATACATTTTAAGACTAGAAAAAGGCACTACTCCATAAAATTAAGATAACAATATTTTAGGATTAAAAATAGGTAGGCAGGAAAAGATTGTGTTGACTCTCTAAATGTCATACAAAATACATAGAGGAAGTAATTTTGCAGGAAGCACAGCTACGACTTAATGAAGTTTATATCACCACATAGTTTTTTCTTAAAATAAATAACACCAACAAATTAGCCTGGATAAACAGCACTCACCCATTTGATAAGTTGGGTGAAATTCATTTCCTTGGCCATCTTTTGCCTCCGCCTGCACCTGAAATTGGCATTGTAGCTAGTGCTATATTAGTACTTTAAACCATAAGATAACTAGCGAAAGTTCCATAATTCATGTCAGGATTCAAATACATGATTCAAAGTATGCAATTATCTGTGTGAAGTTGGACATTGACTATTCTATTTAGATTGAAACAAATATACATTATTTTGAGACAACAAATAAGGTAGTACTCCAAGAAATTAAAATTACAACAGTTTTAAGGATTCAAAATAGGTACAGAGGAAAAAATCAGTTTGACACTCTAAGTAGTAATCGAGTAATATAAAATATATAGAGGAAGCATTTTGCAGGAAGTACAAGTACGGCTTTATGAAGTTTAAATCACCTCATAGTTTTTTTAAGATGAACAACACCAAAAAAATAGCCTAGATAAACAGCACGCTACTGTCAATCACGATGAAGGTTTTGCACATGTAGTTCTGATAGTCATTATAACTCACCGGAATGTTACTAGGCTGAACATTATAAGCTGGGTCAAGTTCATTGCCTTGGCCATCATTTTCCTCCCCTCGCACCTGAAATTGGTACAGCAGCTGCAGCTAGTGCTATTTTAGTACTTTAAACTATAAGATAATTAGTAGACTTTCCAAATTCATGACAGGATTCAAGTACAAGGATCAAAATATGTAATTACATGTGTGAAGTTGAACATTGACTTCTAAATTAAATTGAAACAAAATTAACATATTGTGAGACTATTTAAAGTTACTGCCCCATAAAACTTAAATTACAATATTTCAGGACACAGAAGAGGTAGACAGCAATAGATAGTTTTGATTCTCTTAGGTAGTAATGATGGCAGGTAATGATGAATAATGTGTTTCTAGGGCAGAAAAAAATAAAGAAGGATGGAGAGAAATGGAGAAAGAAAAGATTTTTGGAGATGTCATCACAAGTACGACTTATTGAAGTTTAAATTTCTTTTTATATATATACACATATATGTGTGTGCGCATTTGTGTGTGTGTGGAGGGGGGTGGGGGGCCACCAAGCCTGACTTGTAGTGCAACGCCTAGGCAGTGGACCAATGGCCCACATATCAGATGTTGTATTGATAAGAGCAGATGTTGTACCTCATTATTTTTTAGAATAAACAACACTACAAATTACCCAGGATAAACAATATGCTAGTGTTATTTGGATTTAGAATAAAGTTAGCAAGGTATTTTAAACATGCAGTGTTGAAAGTCACAATCACTCACCGAGATGTTATGAGGCTAAACCATTTGATTAGCCAGGTGAAATTTATTTCCTTGCACATCATTTGCCTCTTCCATTAAAAATTCATCAATGTTGAACTCAGGTTCACTGAAAGAAGCCTACAGAAATAACATCAAAAAATTAGGTTGTGTTAGTTCTCAGCAAGTGTTCAACTTATTTTTCGGGGAATGAAGATAAGAAATTCTTTAACTTTAACTTTAAGACAACTAACAAACGTTCCAAAATTCTTGTCGGGATTCAAATACATGGTTCAAAATATTTAATTATCTCTGTGAAGTTGAACATTAACTATTCATTTAGATTGAAATAAAATATGTATATTTTGAGACTACAGGTACTTTTCCATAAAATTTAGATTACAATATTTTATGATTCAAAATAGGTAGACAGGAAAAGATTGGTTTGACTCTCTAGTAGTAATTGTATTATACAAAATATATAGAGGAAGTATTTAGCAAGAAATACAAGTACGAGTTTATGAAGTTTAAATCACCACATAGTTTTTTTAGGATTAACAACACCAATAAATTAGCTAGGATAAGCAGCACTCACTGGAGTCTTATTTGATTGAACCATTTGATAAGCTTGGTGAACTTCATTTCCTTGGCCATCATTTGCCTTGTCCTGCACCTGAAATAGGCACCGTAGCTCGTTCCAATTTAGAACTTTAAACTGTGAGATAACTAACATACATCACAAATTCATGGCAGGATTCAAATACATGGATCAAAATATGTAAATATTTGTGTGAATTTGAACACTGACTCTTCACTTGGATCAAAATAAAATTTACATATTTTGAGACTACAAAAAGATACTACTCCACAAAATTACAACAGTTTAGGATTCAAAATAGGTAGATAGGAGAAGATCGGTTTGACTCTCTGAGTAGTAATCGTGTCATATACAATATATAGAGGAAATATAAAATATATAGAGGAAGTACAATATTGCAGGATACAAAAGAGGTAGACAGCAAAAGATCGTTCTGACTCTCTAAGTAGTAATAATATCATATAAAATATATAGAGGTCGGTCGGAAGTACAAGTACGACTTTATGAAGTTTAAAATTCCTTTATATATATATGAGGGGGCACCAAGCCTGACTTGTTGTGCAACGACTAGGCGCAGCAAAGGCCCAGGTAGCAAGCTATCTTAGTGAGCCGTTCCCCTGAAGAAAATGTCAATATCATGATGACCAATGGCCCACGAATAAGATATTAATTTGATAAGAGCAGATATTGTACATCATTGTTTTTTATGATAAACAATATGCTACTTTTATTTGGAATAAAGTTTACATGGTACTATGTAGGGTTGAAAGTCACTATCACTCACTGGAATGTTATGAGGCTGAACCATTCGATTAGCCAAGTCAAATTTATTTCCTTGGACATCATTTGCCTCTTCCACCTGAAACAGGTACGGTAATTAGTGTTATTTTACTACTAAACTGCAAGATAATTAATAGATGCTCAATAATTTGTGATGGGATCGATGAATAGGAGGATCAGAATATTTAACTATCATGAATTTTAACATTGACTCTCAATTTTATCAAAATAAATTTACCAATTTTGAGACTATGTAAAATGTACAGAATAGAATTCAAATTAAAATATTAGGATTCAAAATAGGTGGACAGACTTACTGGAATGCTACTAGGCTGAAACATTTGATAGGCTGGGTGAAATTCATTTCCTTGGCCAACATTCGCGTCCTCTTCTACCTGAAATTCATACTTCAGCTAGTGCTATTTTTAGTACTATAAACTGTAAGATTTAATAAATGTTTCAAAATTCATGGCAGGATTCAAATACATGGATCAAAATATATAATTATCCAATGTAAAGTTGAACATTGACTCCTCATTTAGATCGAAATACAATTTTGTATATTTAAAGAATAGAAAAAACGTACTACTCCATAAAATTAAGATAACAATACTTTAGGATTCAAAATAGGTAGACAAGAAAAGATCAGTTTGACTCTAAATAGTCACAATGTCATATAAATAAAAAATATATCGAGGAAGTATTTTTTCGGGAAGCACAAGTACGACTTTAAGAAGCTTAAATCACCTAATAGTTTTTTTAGCATAAACAACACCAACAAAATAGCCTGGATAAACAGCACTCACTGGAATGTTATTCGGTTGAAGCACTTGATAAGCTGGGTGAGATTCATTTCCTTGGCCATCATTTGCCTCTTGAACCTGATATTGGCACTGTAGCTAGTGTTATTTAGTACTTTAAACTGTAAGATAACTATAACAAACATTCCAAAATTCTAGCAGGATTCAACTACATGGATTAAAATATGTAATTATCTCTGTGAAGTTGAATACTGACTCTTCATTTAGATCAAAATAAAATTTACATATTTTGAGACTACAAAAAGGTACTACTCCATAAAATTTTAAGGCTAAATAACTTAATATGTTTTGTAAGATAGCACTCAAACTTAGTCCGTGACAAAATAGACAGTTGAACTAGGCAAAAGTGTGTGCATATAAGAGAAAGTGTGTGCTTCTACTGTGTTAAATAGACAAAAAACATAAGCATAACTAAAAAATAAAATAAATACAATAAGAATAAAGAAATGCAACCCTGCACCCCAAGATCATCCCCTCCATTTCCCCATCCCCAGACTGTCTGCTCATTTCTCATACCAGAGACATCCTTCACTTCATAATTGTGGAGTCTTCTCCTCGTCTTAATCTTTAGCTGTATTCCTGATTTATTTTTCCCCTGAATTTGAACTTTTAATTAAACAAGTCATTTGCCGGCAGTAATTTTTCCAATGCAAACCCAATTGCAAAAAAATTGGATAAAAGTTCTGTCATCACCTTCGCGAGAAAACTGATACATGAAAAGGAGAATCATTATTGTGTTGTATTTTTCTCTTTGTTGGAAGAGTTGAAGGAATCTAGAAGAAGCTATGAGTGGGAGTGGTGGTGCTACCATGTTATACATTTGTGTCTATAAGACACTTCTGCCAAGTTCAAGCATATCTGGTCACTTGCTAAGTTTGAGTGTTTATTTTACAAAACGTGCCAAGTTTAAGGGGCTATTTAGGGGATTTAGCCAAATTTAAATTACACTAGTAAGGATTCAAAATAGGTAGACAGTAAAAACATCAGTTTTGACTCTCTCAGCAGTAACGTGTCATATAAGATATAGAGGAAGTATTTTGCAGGAAGTACGAGTACAACTTTCTGAAGCTTAAATCACCTAATAGTTTTTTTAGGATCAACAACACCAACAAATTTGCCTGGACAAACAGCACTCACTGAAATGTTATTAGATTAAACCACCTGATAAGCTTAGTTATAGTCATTTCCTTGGCCATCATTTTCCTCCTTTTGCACCTGAAATTGGCATTGTAGCTAGTCCTATTTTAGAACTTTAAACGTTAAAAAAACTAACAAACGCTCCAAAATTCATGTCGGGATTCAGATACATGGTTCAAAATATGTATTGCAGGATACAAAAAGAGGTATACTAATATATAAACCAACCTGATAGGTCTGGAGTGGAACGATGTCAGAGAGGAAATCGAAAAGCTCTTCATCCCTATGGCCCTAGCAAAGTCATAACGCTTCAGAGTTCGACATTTGCCTTGATCAGCTTGCATCCACGCACGAAGGGTGAGCTCCATAATAAACATCTCAATTGCTTTCAAAAACAGAACCGTAGAATATGCGCTAACCATCTGAATTTACTCATTCCCATTAAAAGTAAAATAAAAATTAAGTAGCCACTCCCCAGATAGAAACAGCAGATGAAGAAAAGTAAGAAGTAATTCAAACGTTTCAAGTTCCAACCAATAGCAAATGGGGAAATAAAATAAATTAAAAGATATGACCGTGGTTAATGTCAATGGAATAAGCCAAAGCCATGGACATACCTTTACTTGATCATTTGACTTCATAGCCCATCTGATCCTTGAGATGGGCAGGTCGTGTTTTCTCTTTGGATCTATAGATAAAATGAAGCGGCTGCATGAAGGTAAAATCAACACGAAAAAACAGCAGCAAAGTACACAAACCCCACTATTTCTAAAAAGTAAAAAAGATCTTTCACTTGCAATTTGTTTCACTGATTTTTATGATTTCTAGTACTGGTTCTAAAGACATGACCTGCACATGACTTATGAGTGTGTCATGACCGGTGGAATTGGCATTACTCTAACAGTGAAATGCCCTGTTGCAATAAGAGAGAGAATGCCTCTAAAGAAAATATGTGCAGCATATGTATTATTGAAAATTTTCCATAGATGACATTTATGCAATGATTGGAGATACTTCTAACACAATTAACATATGTGAGGGACGTGGATGGTCTTAAATTGGCCCAAAAGCTCAAGAATATCCTTAGATTACGGATGAATGACACATATCAGTGGTCTCTGTAGGTAAACATTGGTGACTTGTGAGGAGCCAAAAAAGACCTGAACGTAGAATTTCTTCCTTTTGTCGCTTCCAGAAAGAGAAGAGGTTTTCTTTTAGCAATTGCATAAAACTTGGGTCTCTTTCATCTTCATCCTAGATATGCAACAAAACCAAAGGGACAAATCTCAGCTTATAAGAAAATGGTAGCTATATGTGAAAAGTTTCTCATGAAAGACTTCATTGTATTGATTACCTGCTGAATTTTCTTGTCACTTGGCATGGAGCTATCCAAATGAATCGGTCTTTGCATTTCCGAAGATAGTACTGACGAGGATTTTGGGAGTTCCATGAATGAACTATTGAAATCCATGTCTTCTCCAGATTGACCATATCCGGGGAAGAAGGGCCTTTAAATAGCAGGAACGCCATGCCGTAACTGCCTTTTCTTCCTTTGCCCCCACCCCAGTAGAACTACTAGGCATTAATTTTGAAGTCATCGTTAAGGACCCTATTTATTAGGAATAGTTCTAAGATATGTTCATCATTAATAAGGAAATGATCCTTCATTTAACCATTGATCAAATTTCTTTATGAAGATGTGTGAAACAATAAGTGCTTATTTGACATGCTCTAGATATTTGACTTGAGGAGTAGCTTGCAAATGGAGACACGCCATTCATCAAAGGAAAACAAAAAAGAATGAAACAAATTTTGTTTTGGTCTTTTTTTTTTTTGGAAAAGGGCCAAAAATACCCTCAACGTATAAAAAATGGCTCACTAAAACCCTCCATCCACCTTGGGGTCTAAAAATACCCCTCAAACTAACACTCTAAATCTGATGAATTTTTGCAATTTAAACTAGCCACATGACTTATTATGATTGGCAACATATGTATTTTTTTATGTCTGCGGTGTCCAGGCCAGCTTTCTCGCACCTCAACTAATTCCACAGGATACTTGCCACCTCCCACCAGCAACAGGTACCAAGTAACTCCATCCACCAAGGCTAAGACGGATGGGAAGAATCACCTAGTGTTTTTTGTCTCCACTGAGTTTTGAGCCTTCATTGACCACTAGGCCACACCCTTGGGTGTGATTGGCCACATATATTACATAATTTGAAAATTAAATCCACCCACTTTAAAACCCAAACACGCTAATTATATTACTAGAGTTATGGAGACCCTGTCATATTTTAGTGATGTTACAGGTTTGGTTGCAAATATGGAAAAGTGTAGCATTTTCCTGGCTGGTGTTGATGAACTTACCAAAGAACAACTGCTAGCCTTAACTGGATTCACTCAAGGCATCTTTCCTATTAGGTATCTTGGTTTGCCTCTTTCAACTGAAAAATGGAACAAACTGGGAATGTCAGCAGTTGGTTGATAAGATCACTAGTAGGATCAACATTGTGTATTCAAAACAATTATCATATGCTAGCAGACTACAGGTGATTCAAGCAGTTCTGTTCTCTATTCATAGCTTTTGGGGGTCTGTTTTCATCTTGCCCCACAGTATCTTGAGTAGATATGAAATGCAGGGACCTCTCGGGTGGTACAGAGGAGAGGAGAAAAATGTCGCTTTGTGGCATGGGACAAGGTCTGCCGTCCAAAGAAGTTTGGGGGGTTCATATTAGAAACCATAGAAGCTGGAATGTTACTTCTGTTGGGAAATTTACTTTGGCAATTGTCAGAGGAGGACTTTTTTATGGGTGATGTGGGTGCATGGTGTGTATATGTGGACAAATACCAATATATGGATTCACCAACCACCTCAAGATTGTAGTTGGTACAGGAAGAAGATTAATGCTTTAACGGAGATGACAAAGGGATGGTACACACAAGGGAGATGTAAGTTAACTTATTATGGACGTTATTCCATTACTAAGAGCTATGATGCTATGTTGGGGTAGCAGAGAAGGCTCAAGATTTCAGAACTCATCTGGATTGCACGCACTGGAGACTCCTCTACACCTATTTGTAGAGTGTACCTAAATAGGACCAGTGAGATGGTATCCAACACTGATTATGATTAACTAGTCCTAAGGGTGAAGTTCAGAAGAGGAGGCATTGGAAGCAGTTCCAAAAGGAAATGATTGCAACTATCTGGGGAACAGTAATCTATCATGCCTGGACAGCAAGGAATTGGCAGATTTTTAGAGGAACACTTGTTTATACAGATGCAGCTATAGTACAGATTAAGAAAGAAGTGATAGAGAGATTAGATTTACTCAAAGGTTCTAGGAAAGCTAGCAAATGTCATAGCATAGGCTGATAAACAAGATACTTGTACCAGATTGTTTTTCTTTGTTTCAGTTGGAGGCGTAATTCTCCTTTGCACCCTTCCTAGAAGGTGGCTATGGAATAGGTGCTCTTAAGTTGGTTATGGTAATTTACAGTTTAATCCAAAAACTTTAAAACAATGATAGCAAGGTAAACCACATCAAACTTTCTTTGGCCGTACCAATTTTATTCTTAAGCATCTTCAGAAGGATTGTGCAATTCTCAAATGTAATAAAGCAATCTCAAAATTAAATTGACAATCATACAAACTTTTACAATCAAAGAAATGAAATAAGCAAACTTAAATTTGGACCTGTCCAAGTTGTTCTTGAGCATCTTCACAACGAGTGTCCAAGAACTGTGCTATCCTCCAATGTGATAAGTGATAACGCCATTTTGGTTCAGCAAACACCTGTGTTAAGCGTAATGTTAATAAGGAAAACAACAAGATCACGAAAATAAGATAAACAAATACAAGCACTAATTAAATAACATGAACTCTCACAATAGCAATACTACTGGAGTTCAATTTCTGCACGTTTCATATTTCGACTTCATACTATACAATTTTAAGGTGAAAATTGTACCATCTCGGAGATTTTCCTAATTTTGATTCTTATGTTGTACTATACAATTTGGTGCTACTACTTTCCCTACTAACCAGAAAAAGAAGGAAACGAAAACCTACTCAAGAACAATGTCAAAAAAGTTTCTTCTTGCCGCTTGATGTTAAAACTCTCCAAGAACATCATTCGAATGTCAAAGAAGTTTTCTTCTTGCGGCTTGATGTTAAAACCCTCCAAGAACCTACCAAAGAACAATGTCTCCAAGAAAACCATAGTTCCAGAAAATCATTTGAATTCGACCTTTCCAAGAAAATCATTTGATTATTATGTCTAATATACAATTTGGTGCTTCTACTTTCCCTACTAACCAGAAAAGGAAGCGAAAACCAACCCAAGAACAATGTCAAAGAAGTTTCTTCTTGCCGCTTGATGTTAAAACTCTCCAAGAACAATCTCTCCAAGAAAATCATTCGAATGTGAAAGAAGCTTTCTTCTTGTTAAAACCCTCCAAGAACCTACCAAAGACAATGTCTCCAAGAAAACCATAGTTCCAGAAAATCATTTGAATTCGACCTCTCCAAGAAAATCATTTGATTCTTATGTCTACTATGCAATTGGTGCTACTGCTTTCCCTACTAACCAGAAAAGGAAGCGAAAACCTACCCAAGAACAATGTCAAAGAAGTTCCCTTCTTGCCGCTTGATGTCAAAATTTCAGGTGCAATCACTCCAAGAAAATCATTTGAATTCTCCGGTGATTTTGCGGTAAGACATAGTCGAAAGATTTCAAGAAATTGACTGTTTGAATGTTTGTGTAGTGACCAATCTTTCGCTCTAGTTATCATTCGCGGGTTCTATGAGTGTTTATGGAAATTTAATCCACCGCTATCTTATTATTTATACTGTTTAATTGAGAACAAATGAGGTTTAATTAATTAATAAGGTCCTTTTGGTCCGCCTACGAATACTAATTATGTCTCTTTAACTATGATAAATAGATTGTTTGAATGTTTGTTTGGGTAGTGAATAATAATGTAAAAATTATTGTCGTGAATAAAAAATAAATAATTAGTATTATCTAAAAACTAATATCTCCTATGTCCACTATTTTTTTTATCAATCTATTAAAGAATGACATATTTCTACATTTAGTAATAATTTAATTTTAAAATATTTATTTTATCCTTAATAAAACTGCTTATACTCACATAAATTTCTATTACTTATTTTAAAGTCTCTTTCTTAAACTCCGTATTAAGTCAAACTAACTCATACAAAATGGAACGGAGGGAGCACTTCAAAAGATATTTGATTTACTTTTATCCTTAAACGATGCTCTTTACATTTCCTTTTTGTTGAGTTAGTCAAAATATTACTAGCTAAACACTAATGAATTTACAATTCTAAGATGATTATGAAAGGCAATCAATAAGATGATTAAACATGGGTGTATTTGTTATAGTTTTATCATCCGTGAATGCAGGTCATTGATGTAGTTTCTAAAAATTTCAGTTATTAAGTATTAACCATCACAAGCATAAGAAAGTAACAAACTTCTTCGCTGAGAAAGGAGCTAAGAAAGAAATATTTGATCGTATTAGAATGCTCGTAGTTCTTTTATATTTACAAATAATGTAGAAGTATGCAAAAACATTCTATGAATAACTTTTGAAAGAAATATTTACATAATAGCAATTTGGTTACACACCGTAACGAACTATTAGGAGCTCAATGTTCCCACCAGCTTGTTTTTTGTTTATAATAGATATATCAATCCAATTTACCGAGAGAGAAGAGAAATTACTCTGTACATATTTTAAAAGTCAAAAGAAGAATGCATATATTGGTAATAATTCTGGTTTATAAATCAATATACAGTTTATTTCGCAACAACTTTTTCATTTTAAACTATTACTTTTTGTTTGTCTCTTTGCAAACCACACAAAAAATCTGGAACTATTTTCACATATGAATTTATTTTAGAAGTGAATATATCTAGTTGGTTCGATTTTCTTGATTTTTCTATCTGAATCAACAGTGGACCAAATTAAGAGGCGAAAAAGAAGCAAATCAATTTTGTCAAGTCGATTTAATTAGACTTTTAGTCAAGTGGATTTTTCAATTTTATTTGAACACCGTCTCTCCTTCGTAAACCAAGTTGCAATTGGACAGACTACTGCCATAAACAGTTTATGACCATTACAAGATTTTAAACACCTAATTCCCCTGCACCATGCCCTTGCCACAATTGGCACACGAATACCTGAAATATTAGCTACAAAAGGATTTTATACAATTCCTTTCCACAGCATCCCCAAATAGTAGAACAACCAACAAAAGATTATGACCTCCCCTATATATGTCTCCACTTCCAACTCCAGAAACCTAGTTCGCATTTATCCTATTTTTGCAGTGCGACTGCATTGTGACTTGGGCAGGTAGCCAGGTTTCACCTCCAAGATAACCCTCATTACATAATTTCCTGTCCGTCCAAAGTATTTTATACACGCAATACTTGTGAAAATCTGTCCATCTTATTGCTTTTGGGGGATTTACCAATATGCGAAATTGAACATAGGATTGTAGTTTTACAACTAAAAAGCAATTAAAGATATATGGAACCATCAGAAAAGGCCAGGACCTGTTCGTCGCTCTTCCTCAGTGAGAGAGTGACGGAAGTGGCAACGGTGACCATAGGGGCACATATCACCTGCTAGGACCATCCTACAGACTTCTGTCTTGTAGCGTGGATGCCTTATCACTGGGCGCAACTCTGTGATACCGTGAGCGAACTGACAGTTTTCTCCATAAGGACAAGTCCCAGTCTCCTGCCATTTGTTACACAGCTCTGTCTTTAACATCCCTTGGTTGTAAACGTCAAACTCTAATGCCTCCTCTTCCTTCTTACTTCCAGGAACGTACACTCTTTGTTGCTACAGCCACAAACCAGAAAACAAGAGGAAAAAAAAAAGAGAACAAATTGTCAATCAAATTGCACTGGGCTGAATCCTAAAGCAAAGATTATGGATTGCTGTTAATTTTAACAATTCACAAATTAGATGTAACTGAAATCAAACCAACTATCTTTTCGGAAATGAATAAGAAAGGGGAATGAATATTTTCACTCACAGATTCGGTTAGGGGTGGAGCCGTAGATTTTTGCCGAGCTTTTGCCTGGCTGGGACCTCCACTATTTCCACCTTGTGCTTTCAACTTGAGATAACCGCTCGAGCGCACAGAAATGCTCTTCGGCAGCGAAACTCGTTCAGCGTTCCTTCGCTCAGGCCGGTTAGGTTCCACGACGCTCCCTTGCCTGATGTTCGGAGGTCTGGGATCAGAGATTTGAGTATCACGGTTGACTCCCATACCAAAACGATTGAAATCAGAGAGAAGACAGTTTTGTATGGTGGCCTGCGTGAGGAGGCTCAGGCGTCGATCCAAATCGGTGTTAACTAGCCGGAGAGATTCATTCTCCTGGTGAAGAGCTTCGACTTCTTTGATAGATTCCTGCATATGTGCGAGGCAGAGAGTGTACCGATTGTAGAGTTGCTGGTACTCGAGAATGTAGCTAGCTTGGTGGAGGCGGCCATCGGTGACGAGGTCATCAGTATCGTCAAAGGAGGTTAGGGAAGGGGAATTTGAGCTGCGAGAGAAAGTTGAGTAGAAGTTGGGGATGAATTCAGAGGAATCGAATTGGTGAGTTGAGGTAGGTGAGAGAAATGGATTGTCAGCCAAGTCTGGTGAAGTTGCATCAGAGAACGTAAAGTTTTTGTTGCCGGACGGGACTGTAGCTGCATCGGCGATGCTGGTGTTGAGGCCATCACTTGAAGGATTCTCGTTCTGCATTTTACTGAGAACAGAGTATAAGCGGAAAATGATCAGTAATTACAGTTAAGCATTCCAACGCTCAACAATACCAGAAAAACTCAAAAAGAGGAAAACCTTTTTCTAAAATTGCAGAGAGCAAGTACACAAAACCTTTTTCACCAACAATCTCATATAACTAATGGAATCATAACAAACACAGAGACGTAGAAGTAAAGCATATGGCTTATTCACAACTGCTATGAAATCACAAAGAGGAAAAAAGACATCTCAGGGCTATTTGATATCAGAAATGATGAGTAATTTTAGGAAAAGCATTTCGAAACAGTCAACTATGAAATTTCAAGCACTTTCTTCTGTAGTTCAATTTTCCAGAATTACACAGAACAATTACTCAATAGCAGCGGAGATTGAAATAGATACAAAAACCTTCACAAAAGATTTATTGAACCAAAACAGAGAGAGGAACATATCAAATAACCAAATCGCATCAGACGAGATGATATCAGGAAGAGGAGAAAAAGCATTTCGCTGCAAGCTAAACTCGAAAATTATCAGTAATTTTAGAATATCATTCCAAAACACTAACTAATACCAGCCTTCAAGTACAGTTCATCTCGTGTACTGAATATTCCAGAATTGAACAAAATAAAACTTAAAATCAACGGAAATTCACGTAGATATAGAATCTACCAATCACACAACACAAATCGAATCATATAAACAGAGACGCAACAAGTATGCAAATCACATCTGATAGAAATACTTACTGAAATCACGAGGAGTAGAAAAGGCACCACAATCCAGCAATAGTAAATTTCACAAAATTGCAGTGAACAATTACTTAAACACAACGAGAATTCACATAGATATTTAAACTAGGAATCACAATAACACTAATAGAAGCAAAATCAAATGAAATCACGAAGAGGAGAAAAAGCACCAGAAAATCTACCTGAAGATAGTCGTGCTAGTAAGATGGAGCTGCGTAATTCTGAATTCTAAGACGGAAGAGATGATCCGATATTTGATTGAAAGAAGCAGAGAAAGCAATTAAGGCCTTCGTCGAGTTGTTGAGACAAAGTATAACTCGTGCTTTGGGGATACAATATTATATATATATAATAGATGGGGTAGCAAGAACTTTGCTTGCTTAGGTCACAAGTTCTTCAAGTATATAATACGGCATGGAGATGAACTTTTGGCGGGGAAATTTGAGACGGTCAAATTGGCTTTTCACCGAAACAAGCTCTCAACCTTCCCGAGGCAAGAATAAGACTGTCTACACACCATTCTTTTCAGACCTTACTTGTGAGTTACACCGAGCCCCGAGTGCGTATATTATTGGTGTTATTTATGTTACACCGAGACTCCGACTTAATACGCACAATTCTTTTTCGACCCCACTTATGAATTACACCGAGTGCCAAGTGGGTATATTATTGGAGTTATTTATGTTACATGCTTACTAATGTAAGGACATAAATTATAATTTGTGTATAAAAAAAAAAATTAGTAGTTCAATCGTTTTCAAAACCGTTATGAAAGAATGAAAATGCAAGAGGAGCCCACATATTTAGTTTATATACTATGTGAAGTTTAGAAGTTGTTGCGGAAGGTTAAATCAAGTATCACGAGTTAGTTATTGTTTAAAACTAATGTTCCCCTAATTTGATTATAACTGCTCAACTAAAATTAGCTAACTAATTCTATTTCTTTATGACTTTATCATATGGTTGTGTATATATTAATTCTCACTATTAGTCAACTCCAATGTTGCTGCAAATTACTTATTATTAACGTTATGTTACCAACCTGCTATTGACATTTTTTGGATAAAGGCATTCAGAACATAATACATTTCTTCCAAGTTCTAATTAACCTTTGTCACCAAATTCAGGATTGATTTGTCACTATCAATTTGAATCTAATTATGACTATGATTTAGTGAAAGAGAAGACAGGTAACGATCCAAATTAAACGTGAAGCATCTTCACTACTACCTTGTCCCCAATCTCTATATATTTTTAGTTTTACAATAAATAAATATATATATATATATATATATATGTATGTATCATTCTCTTTAACTTGAAAATAGAAATTTAAGTTGTAAAATGTTTTTTTTTGTGTTCATCTCAACGATTTTAACTGAGTTATCAACTTTTTAGTTGTATGAAGCAGGTGTCATGTGGACATTCATCTTGATGTGAGGCAAATATAATGATAATATATAATTTAGAAATGACAAAATTAACTCATTAAAATAGAATTCACTCAACTAGTTTAAATTTGACAGATTGATAATTCATCTATTTATTAATTAGTTCATTGAGATATTAGATATCTCTAAATTCAATCTATCTAAAAATTTCGCTCATTGTACTAAATATACAGCTCATTTTGATTCGTGAGAAAGTAAAATTCAAGAAGCAAATTTTATATAATTTCTGTTGTACTTTAATTAACTAATTCATTTTTTTTAAAAAATAGTTATGATTAATTATTTGTCTACCTTGATCAAACATCTCAACCCAACTGACTTTGAACATGGTTAGTCGATTACTCTTTTTTATATATATATATATATATATGTGTGTGTGTGTGTGTGTATTCAACCCATTTTGATTCCAAACCCCTTTCATAATCAATTACGTAATTTTGTTCGATCTCGTGTGCATTAAAAAAATCAATTAAATAATTCAATAAGTAATCCCTTTTTATATGATCAAATCTTTGTAGACAAAGTAATATGGTATTTTAATGATGGAAGATAACATGTATTTATTGAATTAATCGAAATATGAGTAAAATAATTCAAACACTAAAAAAATCAGCAAGTACAAATTATATATTTCAAATCCAATATTATTAATAAGTTGTGATAAAATGCCAAATTCAATCTTATAATATTCAAATTCTGAATCCGCTCCATAATTTCAACTAATTATATATACTTTCTTTGTTGACAGTAGTAGCATGGATCAAAAACTCTTCCCGTCTTTTTACCCTTTTTTTTACCAATATTATATGAAAATTGTAAAAGTATAATCACCACAATATACTTTTAAAAAATGTCAATAGACCCACATGACAAAAAACAAATAAAAAATAGCTGTTGGAGAGTAAGCAGGGGCCAGGGTGGGTAGTCCAGTGTAATATTGGCGTGGCATCAAAGTATAGGAAGGTGAAGGAAGAAGGTGATTTAAAGCTCAAGGAATATACATAGAATTATCTCACGTAATGATGTTCAGTTTTGATTAATTAATAAAGTCTACGTTGGTTAATTTCTAGGGCTATTTTATTTTGTAAGTAGGCCTCGAATTCTAATTACACTCGGTTTTATTTCACTTGATTCTTATTTTTTACATAAAAAATAATATATCATTTTGCTTCTTTTTTTTGGGACAAAGTCAGAGATTTTTTTGTTTCTATACTATCTTTAGTATTAAAAAAATTATATAATAATAATAATAGTTAAATTTAGAAATTAATGAAATATAATTTTTAATTATTTTTAAAAAAAATGTACATATTAAATTAATAATGATCAACTAATATAAAATGGGAGAAGTAATATTGAAATCATTGCGGCCTTGCTTCCTTGTCACACCTTTAACTAACCTTGTGGTCCTACTGTTAGTTTTACTCCCTTCCTGTCTCTCTCATCCTATTTCATTCAATTTTAAAATTATTTATTCATTATAATAATATTATTTCTATTATTATATTAACCACTCAATTTTTACATTCACTTAGTTCTTTTTGGCTAACATACTTCTTTAGTGTACACGAACATACTTCTGTTAATTAGAAGGGTAAGTATGACCCAATACTTTGATGGGAAGGGTAATTTTGAGCCAGAATATAGTTTAAGGGTAAATCTGAGTTATTTCCGATAGTTTAAGGATATTTTTTAGCCTTTCCCGTTGATTATTTACTCATTATAATAATATTATTTCTATTATTATATTTACCACTCAGTTTTCACTTTCACTTGGTTCTTTTTAGTCTCCGCCATTCTTTCATATATTATTTCAATTATTTATTTTGCAAACTAAAACTAAATGAGTCAAAAATAAAAGCATAATTTGTCAAACAAGTGAGATAATCACAACTTCACAACTTTAATATGATATATATTAGCAGATAATTAAGTCCAGAGCTTGAGCATTCAATTTTCAATGTTTGGCTCATAATCAAAAGAATTAAACCCATGCAGGAAAAAAAACTATATTTATAACATAATTAATTAGGTTAAAATATGTGTTACCTCCTGTATTCAGATTAGCAAACCAGAAATAATAAAAGATGAAAAGAAAAACACAAAGAACTATCCGAGTCCACAGAACCCACTGTGTGTCCTTAAGAAATTTAATCCCCTCAAGTACCAGAGGTTGCAGATTAATTCCTCCCAAGATAAAACAGATTAACCATTAAAGAAGTAGCGGTACCTCAAACTTCGATAATTTCAACGAACTCAAAATGACAGCAACGAATCACACACACAGACACGATCGATCGATTTTGTTTTGTAAGAAATGTATGCAAAAGAAGGGAAGAATTCGATACAGAAAAATGTAGAGAAAACCTCTCTATTTATAGCCAACAAAGGATAAAGGTCACAACCCTTTGGAAAGAAGAAAACATTTCAGAAAGGTCACAACACTTGGGAAAAGGCATAACCTTTCAAACGGTCACAATCCTTTAGAAAGGACACAACCTTTCATAAAGGTCACAACCCTTCAGGAGAGTCACAACCCTTCATTTCCTGTTCACACCTTTAAAACCCAACAATATATACCATAATACTTCCTCTAAAAATCTAGTGTCATTTCATTTTTTACCAATACAAATAAAAATGAATTGATCCCCAATACATCCAACTCAGTTGAGAAGTTATTTGAGTCTTCTTTCACTATCCTTAATCATTGTAACATATGCCACATGTAAATATGAGCTTTAAAGAAAATGATTTGACACATTTATATAACCTAAAAATTCAAAAAAAAAATTCTTATCTCAAAATTTACTATATAATAAAAATCCAAAAAGTCCCTCTCATAATCGTGCACTGTGTGTTTTTTTTTAAAGGGAGAAATGTAGTAAGTGATAATTGATCACTAATTTTTTAAGTAAATAACTTAACATTTAACCAATTCATCATTTTTTTTATTTTTTATTAACCAATTCATCATTTAGTTTTCTTATAGCATAGATATCAGTAAATAAATATTATACCATTTTAGAAAATATATACACAAAATATTTAATTTTATAAAAAGATCACAAATTTATATGCCCCATTTTAATTTAGATTATAAATTCGCCCTTCTTGACAAGCTTTCAATTAAAAGAACAAGCTAGAAAATGTTACAGATCAAACAATAATAATATTCCCCGTTCTTATTTAGTTATCACCATTTTAGGTTTCATCTCCTTAAGGAACAAGATAAGTTTATCATTTTACTCTTATTTAATGTTCTCTTGAATTCAAGTTTTCAATTAATGAAAATAAATTAATTTATTTTGATTAATTACTTAACCAGTAAACATGAATTAATCACTTTGTTTTCTCATGTTGGTCAAATGCATACGTTCAAAGCTAATAACTCTCAAAGGTAAAATAGGAAGAATATTGTTATTTATGCATTGATTTTGTAAAATGACAAATATAAAAGAACATTTTATTTTTAATAAAAACGACATTCAAATAAAAACGGTGCGAATAATATATATGTATACATATCCTAATTAAGTGAGATATGAGAGGATGATGTGCATTTTATCCGTAACTTGCTTCCCTCTGGAGAAAGCTTTGCAAGGTCATAAGTCATAACTATAGCTTTTACTGCAAATTAAATAATTATGATTACTCATAAATACATTCTCCGTTCATTTTGCTTAATCCATGTTGATTTGGGTATTTTTCTTTTTAATTATACAAAAGTATAATATTTTATTTTATTTTTATTTGTCACTTTTTAACATATTAAAAAAATATAATTTTTTTTCATATTTTATTTTTAGCATTAATTACTTACTGCCTAATTTATTTATTTTTCAAAACATAATATTAAATAATGTGATAAAACAGCCATGATAATC